GCTGGTGAGCCAGCCCGGAAGTCTCCAGTCGAGTGCTGGTGAGCCAGCCCGGAAGTCTCCAGTCGAGCACGGTGCTGGTGAGCCAGCCCGGAAGTCTCCAGTCGAGTGCTGGTGAGCCAGCCCGGAAGTCTCCAGTCGAGTGCTGGTGAGCCAGCCCGGAAGTCTCCAGTCGAGTGCTGGTGAGCCAGCCCGGAAGTCTCCAGTCGAGTGCTGGTGAGCCAGCCCGGAAGTCTCCAGTCGAGTGCTGGTGAGCCAGCCCGGAAGTCTCCAGTCGAGTGCTGGTGAGCCAGCCCGGAAGTCTCCAGTCGAGTGCTGGTGAGCCAGCCCGGAAGTCTCCAGTCGAGTGCTGGTGAGCCAGCCCGGAAGTCTCCAGTCGAGTGCTGGTGAGCCAGCCCGGAAGTCTCCAGTCGAGTGCTGGTGAGCCAGCCCGGAAGTCTCCAGTCGAGTGCTGGTGAGCCAGCCCGGAAGTCTCCAGTCGAGTGCTGGTGAGCCAGCCCGGAAGTCTCCAGTCGAGTGCTGGTGAGCCAGCCTGGAAGTCTCCAGTCGAGTGCTGGTGAGCCAGCCTGGAAGTCTCCAGTCGAGTGCTGGTGAGCCAGCCCGGAAGTCTCCAGTCGAGTGCTGGTGAGCCAGCCCGGAAGTCTCCAGTCGAGTGCTGGTGAGCCAGCCTGGAAGTCTCCAGTCGAGTGCTGGTGAGCCAGCCTGGAAGTCTCCAGCCGAGTGCTGGTGAGCCAGCCTGGAAGTCTCCAGTCGAGTGCTGGTGAGCCAGCCCGGAAGTCTCCAGTGGAGAGCTGGTGAGCCAGCCCGGAAGTCTCCAGTCGAGTGCTGGTGAGCCAGCCCGGAAGTCTCCAGTCGAGTGCTGGTGAGCCAGCCCGGAAGTCTCCAGTCGAGTGCTGGTGAGCCAGCCTGGAAGTCTCCAGTCGAGTGCTGGTGAGCCAGCCTGGAAGTCTCCAGTCGAGTGCTGGTGAGCCAGCCTGGAAGTCTCCAGTCGAGTGCTGGTGAGCCAGCCCGGAAGTCTCCAGTCGAGTGCTGGTGAGCCAGCCTGGAAGTCTCCAGTCGAGTGCTGGTGAGCCAGCCTGGAAGTCTCCAGCCGAGTGCTGGTGAGCCAGCCTGGAAGTCTCCAGTCGAGTGCTGGTGAGCCAGCCCGGAAGTCTCCAGTGGAGAGCTGGTGAGCCAGCCCGGAAGTCTCCAGTCGAGTGCTGGTGAGCCAGCCTGGAAGTCTCCAGTCGAGTGCTGGTGAGCCAGCCCGGAAGTCTTCCGCTGGACGCATTACAGTGTATGCAGGAGATGGTTGGCTACTACGATCGAGAAACTTCTGGCCAGGCCGGCTGTACTGCAGGAAGTGGCAATTCCGTGACACTGACGACTCCTCGCCAGCAGGAACTGATGACTCATCGCATGACACTGACGACTCCTCGCCAGCAGGAACTGATGACTCATCGCCATCAGGAACTGACGACTCACCGCCATCAGGAACTGGCGAAAGAAACCAGGCAGTATCGGACACCAACGAGCTATTTCAGCCAGAAATCGAAGTAGGAAACACGCCAGCGGCAGCAAAGGATAGCACAGCCGACCAGCTAGACTCTCTGCTTGGCCTCACACCCCGTGGAAAGGCATGGAGCCATGAGTCTACAATCTCTCCGGAGCACCCTGATTCCAAGAAAACGGACTCATGAACCCGCATGCCCAACCGTTCTTCCCGCGACAGAAGCCGCCCACCCAGGGACCATTGTTCAAATTACTGCTAACAAATGTATTTGGCCTGCTGAGTAAATTTGGAGAGTTCCAGCACACGGTTATGTCTACCTGCTCGGACATTGCAATCGTCACCGAGACGAAGCTTACCTCTGAGAAGTGTACAGCAATGGATGTCACGCTACCTGGCTATTCACCGCCAATCCGCCGAGATTGTACAGCGCAAGGCGGTGGAGTCGCCGTCTGGGTACGTTCGGGCCTCGCCTATGGCCACATGGAGCAGATAACCCGCGGTGACCTGGAAGTCATATGGCTTACAGTGCAACTGCAAACAGGGTGTCGTGTTACAGTGTGTGCTGCTTATCGGCCAGGTTCATGTGCAGACAATGACATCTCAATCCTGGAACATATTGACAGCACAACCGATCGAGTGCGACAGCAAGGCGCCAAGCTCGTAATTGCCGGGAACTTCAATGTGCACAACAGCAGTTGGCTTCAGAGCAGCAGGACGTCTCTAGCTGGCGAAGCCGCTGAGGACATGTGTGCCCTGCATGGCCTCACCCAGCACGTGGCAGAACCAACCCGCGGAAACAACACTCTTGACCTGATAATGTCCGACTTCCAGGAGCCAGTGGAGGTAGATGTGCTGCCTCCTGTTGGTAAATCAGATCACGCTGTAGTTGTTGCCACATTCCGCGCTCGAGTGCAGCAAGAGAAGCGCACCCACAGAACTGTTTGGCGCTACAACCAAGCAGATTGGAACCGTCTCTGCTCCCACCTTAGGAATACCAACTGGTCTGACATCATAACGGATAACCAGGACACTTCTTGCCAGCAGGTGACTGCCACGATATCTAAAGCCGTCGCCCAGTTCGTTCCGTCAAAGGCAATGACCACCAAGTCATCGGATCCAAAGTGGTGGACCCGGAGTGCACGCGGGCAATGGCCATCAAAGACAGGCATTGGCGGTCCTGGAGGCTCAAGTGTGCAAGTGGCATGGGGCGCCATACAGATATACCGCTGATTGCTGACGCTGATGGCCACGAGTACGCAACAAGTGAAGAGAAATCGGAGGCATTTGGACGCTTCTTTGCAAACAAGTGCAGCATCCCCGGCGACGATATCTCCGCTGCTGATCTCCCTCCCCACGACTTGCCCACATTGCAACCGACCAGTACCATTCACGTCCGACCTGAAGCAGTGCGTCGAGTTTTGGCTAGACTGGATACGTCAAAGGCATCGGGACCAGATGAAATATCTGCCCGGGTGCTCAAGGAGTGTGCCAAAGAACTAGCTTCACCACTGTGTCAGCTGTTTTTCCTCTGTTTCCGGCGAGGCATTTAACCCAAGATGTGGAAAACGGCAAACGTGGTTCCTATCCACAAAAAGGCTTCGCGTTCTGTGCTCAAGAACTACCGCCCTGTTTCGTTGCTGAGCATCATCTCCAAGGTGATGGAGACTGTTGTGAACAGGCAGGTTACAAACCATCTGGAACACCATCAGCTCCTCACCTCCCACCAGTTTGGTTTCAGGAGAAGATGGGGTACATCTGATGCTCTGCAGGCTCTGCATCATGCCTGGGTTAATGCTGTCGGGCGAAATGGAGCAGCTCGTATTCTCGCCGTTGATATTGCTGGGGCATTTGATCGTGTGTCCCATGTTGGTTTCCTCCATAAGGCACGTCATGCAGGAATCACTGGGCCCCTCCACACATGGCTGTCGTCGTACCTGTCATCACGTTCATTACGATGCTTGGTGGGTGGCTATACGTCTACCCAGTACCCCATAACTGCGGGCGTTCCCCAAGGCAGCATACTTGGCTCGACACTGTTTTTTACTGTACGTAAATGATGCACCCTCTGTTCTGGTGGATGATGCCCAGCTGGAGGCATACGCAGACGACACCACACTTTACTCCATTGTGTCGAATGGCAGCGCGGCAGGTGCAGCGCACACACTGCAACTGTCAATCGATCGGCTGCATAACTGGGGCCAGAAATGGAAGATTGCATTTGAGCCCACCAAGTCCCAGGCAAAGACTGCAACGCTCCGAAGAGCTGACTTACATCTCCAACCAATCATGTTTGACGGAATACAAGTCCCCGAGGCAAACTTGATCACCCTCCTAGGCATCCTCTTTGACCAGAAGCTGTCTTTTGGGGAGCACCTCCAGTCTGTTGCAACCCGGGCAAGGCAGCGACTTGGTCTTTTGCGCCGGTCTGCTCATCTTCTCCCTCCGGCTGGGCGCATAACCGTGTACAAGGCATTCGTTCGTCCGTTGCTGGAGTACGCCCCACTTATCTGGATTGGAGCGTCATCCAGCCACGTCAGCCGACTGGACTGAGTCCAGCACAGCGCCCCTCAGAATCATCGGTCCGGGAGCAATCCTGCCCAGTCTGGCAATCAGACGGACAGTAGCTGCCCTAGCTTGTTTATACAAGCTACAAGTAATTACGGGCCCACCTCAACTTCTTGCGGTTCTGCCAGCTCGCCGTCAGCAGCCGGCCAACCTGCGAACCCGGAGCGACCATGCCAGCGCTGCTGGCCACCAGTTTCAACTGGGCGCCAGCCTGCCAGCCTCTACCCCGTTAGTCCTGAAGCGATCATTTCCCCACTGTGTGCTCCACCAGTGGAATGCATTGCCCTGTGATCTGCTCCTGCATCCTCCCCATCGCAGCCGAATGCAGGCATTCAAGACGCAGGTATACCGCTACTTGCGCGCCGAGAACTGGACTACTGACTCAGTCTAATCGCACCTATCTAGTATCTACATGTAGGTATTGCTCTCTTTTTCCATGTTTTCTCTACTCTCTGTCTCTGTCTCTGTCTCTCTCTGTATCTGTCTCTGTCTGTCTGTCTGTCTGTCTGTCTGTCTGTCTGTCTGTTTGTCTGTCTGTCTGTCTGTCTGTCTGTCTCTCTCTCTCTCTCCACACTATACTTTCGCTATTTTCTTTTTTTCAATCTCTTTTGTTTCTCTTCTTCTCCCGATTTTCTGATGCGTGAAGTAGGCGCGGATGCCGAGACTATGGGTCGGCGGAGCCTGCAGCACCCCATCACCACCGCTGCGTTGCATTTGCAGCCCCATTCAGTCAATGTCTTGTTAGTCTGTTGTTTTGTCATTTCCTCCTTCTTTCTTGTTTTACGAATTGGGTGCATGGTTTCAAGTAAAAAAAAAAGGTCGGCTGTGTATCTACACTTGTTATCTCGTCCTGACTGTCTTGGTGTGTATGATGACTCTCATTTTTCTGTACTGTGTAAACACTTGACAACATAATTGGGTTCGGCCGATAACGGGATACACGTACCTTGTATGGAGTGAAAAGCCATCTCCTTAGGAAAACAGATGAGGATGTTTGAGATGGGTGGTTTGTGGTGTAGATGCGGTGAGGGAACACTCTGTGGACAGATGACGAGTTAGGCAAATACAGTGAAAGTAGCCACGTAAGCAGTGTTAGGAAAGTTCCCAGAATATCAGAAAAGAAGAAAAATTCCAATCTGTGGAGCTTTGCCAGTTTCTCAGCTGTAAATTGGTCAAGGTTCTGTTTGGAAGTACTGCAGTTTGATGCTTACTGCACCCAATGATGGAGACTGATGTACTAAAGTAAACCTTGTGAATAACGACCCTAGATCGTGCATCAGAAACGTCTCGTTATTCACGAGTTCTCGTTATTCACGAGTTCTCGTTATTCACGAGGTTTAAAGTATGCAGTGAAGATGGTCACAAGGTCCGAAGATTGTCGCTACTCGCTCGTGCGCGTTATGTCCAACAGTTGAAAGTCCTTGAGGCAGTTTGTATAAGTATTCATAAGCCTGTTTTGTGTAAGCAGAAAGAGCACGTTGTTGCACTGAGGTTGTATTCGTAGGTTGACACTTCGTTCAGTGCCTTCTCACCTTTGGTTACGTAATATTGTTACCTTTTTGCGTTTCCTCTAGTGCTTTTATTGCACTTGTATCATGATGTTATTTCTAACACCTTTCTATTACAGTACTTAACTTCAGTTTCTTTGGCTGTATCCTTAAAGCCTAGTTCACATTCGACGGGGCGTGACGGGACGCGACGTAAGGATCGACCGGAAGCGACGGGACAGTCTGACGGCGTCCAATGTGAACACCAGGAACGGGAACGCAACTGTACTGCCGTATGGATCGGGAAGCGACGGGAAGAGTTGGATCGATCCAGCTTTTCATACCGTAGACGGGCGTAGACGGGGACGCAAGCGTACAAAACAGCTGCATTTTTGAGTGTGAACAGGAGACGGCGTCGTGCGCCAACTACTCCCGATTCGTACTTCGAAATTTTTAGCATTTCGAACACGGCGCTTCCCATGATAACTCGCAGAATGGCTAACACGACTTGAGTTGAATTTTAGCAAGATATGGTCTGATGTAATTTATGGTATTTAGGGATAGTTCAGGAGCGTGACAGACAAACTGTTTTATCATTTCCCGTAGCTATTATTTGAATGGCACACCTTTCGAAGCTACTTTTTTGATGTTCATGAAAAACTGGTATTGTGAACTTGATTCTGCTTCATTCAAGAAGAAATAATTGAAAAGAAGTCCCAAAAAAAACAAGAAAATAGGTCCAAAAGTCACCCTGTCACGGACTGTGCCTTATGACTGGCGCCGTTCGCTGTTGAACGACGCAACGACTGCAGTATGTCGTGTCGTACGAATCGTACAAGATTTTACAGCTCACCCCAGCCTTCCCGACAGGCCCTTACGTCCCGTACCGTCAGCGTTCCGTCGAACGTGAACTACGCTTTAGTCCTGTATTTTTTTCCCACTGATGATAGGAACGAGAAAATCAATTCTGGGTTTCAATAATATTTTTGTTATAAAATACACAGTCATACATGTCGAACAAGTAACGTAGTTGCGTGATGTCTGCGGCCTTTATCCTATTCATAGCTATAAAAAAATTAAAAAAACACACATACACACACATACACATGAAAAGCATGGGTGGTCTATACTGGTCAAGGTCATACATATATAGCATGGGTGGTCTATATGGGTCAAGGTCATACATATATAGCATGGGTGGTCTATACTGGTCAAGGTCATACTGGAAACGAAAACGAAACTGAGAGTAGAGTGTGCACGTCTTCATTGCCTATTTTCATTGCAGCAGTTACTATTCTTATTACAGTCGACTTCACCTATAACAAACTTGTATAATATAGCGAATTTCGTGATGTAGAGAAACAATGGCCATGTCCCTGTTTGAACCCATACACAGTCGACCCTTTCAAGTTTGAAACGAACTGTTTTCGTTTACAACGACCAATAAGACGTGTAGGGCTGCATGATAACCAAGTGCACTCATACAGCCATGGGCCACCTGCCAGTCATGAAGTGTTGTTTGTATGGTATGAGTGCATTCAATCATTCAATCCGATGATGGTCTTTGACCAACCCACTGTGCCTGCCTGGTTGACCATGATTGAGCCGATACGAGAGGTACTACCTGGTTCAAGTCCTGCCTGGGAGCAGTTTTTCCAGCCGTGCTGCTACCCACAGTCAACTGGGAACTTGTGGCCAGGCACAAGGGGTACATGGATGCAGCTAATGGGGTCGTTCTCGGCACTTGTGCCAGTGGTTGTGAGACTTATCCACTCACCCCACCGTTAGGCGCTGCATCTGCCGCTATGGTTTAACGGGGGCCGTCGTGAGTTCCTTTCCGGAACGGACACGATAATTTACTTTACTTACTTATGAGTGCATTTCTGTTATAACGAACTTCGGCCATAAAGAGCTTTTTTATTTTTCATTTTTTTACACGAAAGTCCACTATATTCCCGAATATGTGCGAGAAGTGGTGGCAGGGCCAAGCTGCTCTGCCGACCTCAAAGGTCTCGGCGTCTACGCAGACAAAGCGCGCCATAATGCAGTAAAACCATGAAGAGGGGAGGAAGAGGGGAAATGAATAATAGTGAGGAACGAGGACAATGGGTAGATGGTCGTGAGAGAAGCAGAGTGAAAGATAACGTGACATTGGGGGGGGGGGGGGGGGGCTAGTGAGGCGCTGCTCTAAACCGTTTCATAGGGCGTCGGTGGCTGCTTGCCAGTTCAGGTGCAGCAGATACTTGTTGCATTTTTCCTTGAAGCTAATTCTCCTGCACAATCATCAGTGGTATTCATTCTAATATCAGATGTCCACGGTAGTATTATAGTGTGCAATCGGCATGCTCTCATTCTGCTACTCACTCCAGCATCGTTATACTAGTATCCAATGTAGCACTACATCCGCTATAATTATAATTATTTTTACTGTCAGGTTTTAAATATTAATTTTTGTTCCGATGTCACTTTAGCTGTACTGTAGTCGCGTCGGTGTACCGACGGTCCGTATTCTTAGACCCGTTCACTAGCAATAGTAATCTGGTAATAGCCGCTAAAGACTGTACAACCATGACTATACAGCTCATGAGCTCTACTAGCATACTATACTAGTATATGAAAATAATTATTTCATTATTTATATTTCAAATAATTACTGACTGCACCTTCACTCACTCGATGAGAACTACTTGCTGGCGAACTAGCGATAACTAACTTGGTCCATATTCCCAATCCTGCTCCGGCTGCCGTCCTTCCACCGTTACAGCACGAGCTGTCAGAAGCTCAAAATACAACCATGTCATGCCACCTCAATCTGATAGAGATAGTCTACGGAACTACAGCCAGTACTGGCAGTAGATCTACTACACGGGCCTGCAGCTACGGACCTCAGTTGCTGACCTGACTGCATGCTACGGAACCAACAACTCTCTAGCTCTCGAGATCTCTTTTGCAGTCGGACGCCAACCTGCAGGGAGTCCTTACACACACTGACACAGTTCTACATTCACACTACAAGTGACTGTGTGCAACTGTGGTTATGGGTCAGTGTGACAGTGAGCGGCGCGCTGTTTGGACTCTTGCTAGTACTAGTACAGTCTGTATCGGCTATAGCGTACCCTTTTGATTTCCGTGATTTTATCACTATAACCGATGCATCACTATATGCGATACGATCGATTTTTTTCGAGCGACACATGAAAGGCAAGGAAATACTTCCAGCATGGCGTTTTGACAAATGAGCATGCTGCATAGTTGACAGTGCCCGCATTTCCATAAAAAAATTCTGTTATGTACATGTACATGTGTCACTATCAAAATAAGCAACGTGAAGAAAGTAAAAAAATAGGGCCTTTGATATTATTGCAACATGTATTTTAAAGTTATCACTATAGCCGATTATAATGTAGTGTGTTATGCATGTTTTGATTCTATGTTGCCATCATAATATCCGATATATCATTACATCCGATAATATTGGTTATAGTGATATTTGTACTGGATAAAATACGTTTTGCTTTTGATATTTCGTACCAATATCACTGTAGCCGATATATTCTTATATCCGGTCACTCTATAGCCGATACAGACTGTAGTAGTACTACTACTACTACTAGTAGCAGTACAGTAATAGTATCAGTACTGTCAGTAGTAGTGGTAGTATATCACTACCATTGTAGACTAGTACTAGTCCGTGAGCCAAAACTCAAAATCACAAGTGCCGTTGCACTCTCGGATGGACAAATCGCCGCTTACAGTGTTGGTCAAGGACATCACAAAGGATACGTTTTCGCTTGTTGGACGTTCCAGAACCGATCCAGAGACCTTCGCGAGGGCTTCTTTTCTCGACCAAATTCCATCGTGAGAACAAATATTTTTACGCGAGTGGTGAGGTGTGCGTCGTATGAGCAAGCGCAAAACACGAGTTCGCATGGAGTGAGGAAAAATAATTTATTTTTTAGAAGATGACGACGTTGACGACAATATCGACTTGGGATATTGTGATCACTTTATTGAAGTTTATTCCTTTCGTGTACATTGATGTTGTTTTGACAACAATGGAAGAAGAGGAAGACGTTTCTAGTGGCAGCGAGGTGCTGGATGAGGCAGCTGACGGCAACGAAGTGGCAAATGACAGCCCAGCGGAGTAATATTGCTGGAATTTTGTGTCTGTGTCACAGCGCCCAATTTAGTAAAAACGAGAAGCCTGCAGTGAGTAATATCGAGACTACAAGTTGGTGTCGCATCGTCAGCGCTGCTCGAGAGAAGGACGACCATATCTGGGCTTTTCTCTGCCAGCACAAGAGCTCAGGGAGGAGTAAATGGTGTGGCTGGTATCATGGAAAGTGCTACACCAATTGCACCCATGTGATAGCAATTGCAAACCTGGAGAAGACCAGTGCCTCTGATTTTGCTTTGTCTATACTTACTGACAGTGATGTGCATGTAGTAGTGAACCCAGAGCCACATCCTAAGGCCAGTAAGCCGCCACCTACCAGGAGCTTAGTGCTTGATACGAACAACGAATGCCATACCGGTAATTATGAAAGCAGAGCACGGTGTAAACACAACATGGAGAACTGGTCCACCCAGAGTTTCCGGAAGGGAATGTTTTGTTACAGGCAGCACTGGAGAGGGCAAGACGACAAGTAGCGAGGGCGAAACCAGCGCTGCTGGAGGTCCAAGCCAGAGCACCTGGCTGCTTTGCGGGCAATATACTACTGTATACCATTAGCTGTGTATGTGTGTGTGCGCACGTGTTTGTGTGCACATTTCTGGGTGTGAGTGTGTTTGTGTGTGTGCGCGCGCGTGTGCATGTGTGCGAGCGTGCATGTGTGCACGCGTTTGTGTGTGTGGGCGCGTGCATGTGTGTGTGCGCGCGTGCATGTGTGTGTGCGAGCGTGCATGTGTGTGCGCGTGCATGTGCGTGCTAGGCGTTTTCCTTTGTTGGTGACACCACCCCAGGCTACTACTGGTGTTGGGGCACGGTGTGGCCACAGCCAGTGCGATCCGTGTTTCAGGTCGTTGGTGGGTTTTAGATTCCGCAATTGTCGACAAGGTGTGCGCCGTGTGTGTGTGTGTGTGTGTGTGTGTGTGTGTGTGTGTGAAACCCGCCAGCATTGGTGTGATGTTGTCCGAAGAGACATCCATCACTTACATCTTGAAGGACATTGGTTCGACACTGCACAGCAGCGAGGAGAGTGGCGCACAGCATTCAGAATTGCTTCACCACCACAGCCGGCCTCCCGTGATCGGATTCAGTCTAGTATTTGTAACATTTCCTTTTCGAAGAGCGGCCTGCCATGCCACAAGTGTACTCAAGAGTGTCGCAAACCTGTAGCAGACCAGTCTGGCAGCAGCCAATGAACCGTATGTCTTCGCTGGTTTCGCAGTCATGGCAGACTGACATAGTCGGATTCGGCAGCTGGTTCATGTGTGTGTGTGCACACGCACGCGCGCGCGCGTGCCTGGGAGACTGCATAGTCGCATTCGGCAGCTGGTTCATGTGTGTGTGCGTGCACACATGCGTGCGCATAAGCGTGTTCGTGCGCGTGTGCCTGGGAGACTGCATAGTCGGATTCGGCAGCTGGTTCATGTGTGTGTGTGTGTGCGCACGCGCGCGTGTTTGTGTGGATTCGGCAGCTGGTTCATGTGTGTGTGTGTGTGTGTGTGCGAGCGTGCATGCCTGGGAGACTGTATAGTTGGATTCGGCAGCTGGTTCGTGTGTGTGCGCGTGCCTGGGAGACTGCATAGTCGGATTCTTCAGCTGCTTCATGTGTGTGTGTGTGGGTGCACGCGCATGCATGCATGTATGTACATGTATGTATGTGATATCATCTTATATCGGTAGTTATCTGTGGATTACTATGTTCTGCGGTGGACTGCGACAGCACACATTATGTGCCAAGATGTGCACCTGGTGATTTGCAACTGTGTTATGTTGAGTTGAAAATGAGCAATTACAGATAGCTTTTGGTGCTGTATGAGTGTGTTCGGAAATCAATAGCCAATTCCAACCTCTTGCATTGGCCGTCAGGTTGGATAGGATCAGCGCGTGCATTTACAACAGTGGTGACGTACTTCCTATTGTACTACTGTAATGTCACATTAGCTTCAGTGATCATATCATTATAATACTGGAGTATTCTACGTATTCACTACTATTCAGTAATCGAGTGGTTATTACTTTTGAAATATAGTTCACTCACCAATTCATTGCTCGCTTTTATCTACAAGTTCCAGTCCAGTATGATGAAGTCAAGAGGCGATTTATCCAGCCAAGTAGAGGAACTTGGGATACGAAATCCAAGAGAAATCATGAGGGTTTTCTCAGTTCGGCCATTCACGAATGTAATTGTTATTCTTCAACGCAAACTGAGTAATATTTGACCTTGAACAGGATGAAAAGAAGTTCATGCTCGGGGCAGTCGTCATTTGCTCCAGAAGGTTACTCACTACAGTCTACTACGCCTATTGGCCTAGGAAGTGGTGAACAAATATGTCGAGAGATATTTAGGACATTCTTGGAAGCCAGTTCTGAACGATTGCATTGTAACTACAAACAGTAGTGACTTTGCTGCAGTTTGCATCCCGATTCATAATTCTCAGCGGCAAAAAATTCGAATCTAGTTTTGTGCACTGGTTTCCGCGTTATGTGCACTCGTGGTACCTGCTCATGGCTTCAAAAAATGAGAATCCGTGAACAAGCGCAAAAAAATCAAGCGAAGAAGGCGAAAATGGCCGCTGCTGTCAGTGAGCAAAGTTGGCTGTTTGGCGTCTTCTGTGACCTCCCTGGATCAGTTTCGAACTGTCCAACAAGTGGAAATCGCTTCAGGATACCATCGTGAAGCGGTGTGCTGAAGGACGATTTGTCCCTCTCTGGGTGCAACGGTCGATGCTAAAACGGCCGATTCTGAGATTTGGCTCACGGACTATACCGTATTTTCCGGGGTATAAGCCGCACCGGGGTATAAGCCGCACCCCCCCCCGTGTGTTGGTATTCGGAGTATAAGCCGCACCCACAAACCAAGATTTTTCACACTCATTGGCAAATGGCCTTCCTACAAATTTATTATGGTTATGGAGCTAAATACCATGTTAGATCAGATTATGAAGTGTTAGTGCACCACATGCACAGGTTGCTGCACTGATGTTGGTGTATTGCTGTGTTGACTACAGATCACTCCATGGCATCTAGCTCTGCACTATCTTCTGACATCTGTCTCGCTGCCATTGATGTTAATCAGCAACACAGGCGCGAAGCTGAGTCGAATGACATGCACATGACGTCAGCATGCACACTGATGTATGCTAAGCATTCATTCGCGCAAATATATTCGGTGTATAAGCCGCAGGGGCGATTTTGGTCCGATTTTTAGCGAAAAAAAGTGCGGCTTATACCCCGGAAAATACGGTACATGTATCAGCCATGAATCATCACACTATCACTAGTATCAGTACAGTATCAGTAGACAGTATCACCATGATCACACTTCACAGAGTAGGGCCTACTACATTTTTAATAGTACTGCCTACTGCCACTACTGGCAGTACTGCCACTGAATGTCCTGAGCCTGGGTCATCAGTAGATCGTAGACGGTAGAGAGTCCCCCCCAGGCGCAGGCCCGGCCCCGGGAGTCACACTATTAATATTTGGGGGGGGGGGGGGGGTACGGGTAGTCCATACATCACATTGTAGTATTCTAGGGTCTATTATTATGGTAATGCTGAGCAGGGATGACAAAATAGTAGTATTACTATTACAATCCAGTCATGTTTGACTTTCTGAGTCTTGCACTCACTGACAGCAGACTACCGGTACTACCAGATTGCGGCTTCCAGGCCGTTTGTCCAGGTAAGTAGAGCACTGCCGGCCCGCGCCGAAGAAAGCTGCAGCGGCCGGCTAAGGTCATGACTAGTCCACTGTTCAGCATCAGACACTACTCTACATTGCAGAATACACATAGTACTGTCTAGCTGAGTTTCGTCGTTTGCTGTTACTAGAGCGTGTCCGCATCCGCCAACCGAACGTGGCTAAGACTTTAGTAAGAGGTCAAAACACAGCCACTTCCATTGAAACGCAAAGGTGTTGTGTCTGGTTGGCTCAGTTGCCTTGGTGTGACAATGGTCGAACTCTTTACCAGTCACCCTACGCTGAAACACGCAGCAATAGCAGCTACACACACACATCACTAGTACTGTACGTGTGGAAAGCAATACCAATACTGGCAATAGCAACTACACACACTGCACCCAAGCCAGCACTGCGCACACTGCACACAACTACACGCACACTGCACCCAGCAGGTGGCACATACTTTCAGAGTAGAAACCGTTTCCGGGCAAAAACAAATAAAAAAAGTAATAACAATTGATGCATGATTGTAAGCTGCCTGTCCTGTCCAGCAGCCAGACTTTTCAGCATGATAACAAAACTTTTCTAGCATTGGTATGGAGCTGCTGCGCCGGCCGCCGGCAGCAAGATACACTTCACCACTGAAAAGGGTGAACATGTACAAGACACAAAATGAACAAGAAGTAGAGAACAAAGTTTAGTGAATTTTACACCCCATACAAGGCTAAAAGAAGGCACCCATACATGACTTTATAAAAGACAGCATCATACATGGCCAAGAAAGACTCAAAAGGAACGAAGGAAACCCTTAAAAAATAAAGCAGGAATAAACAAGAACTGTTGCGCACCATGCTAGTCACTAAAAGATACTAGTCGTGTGTTGGCATGGGAACCAGGGAAAGGGTGCAAGATTAGACAATAAGAAGATGCACTGACTGTGTATAGGTGTTTCCCTACACATTACCATGGCAACGCACTGAATATTTGAAAAACAAGATGATACGAAGCAAGCAAATAAACAACACATAATTAATGTCTTGTTGCTAAAGTAAACATGGCATACTAGATAGGGAGGGGAGGGGGCAGGCAAGCAAGCAGGCACACAGGCAGGTGGGTGTACAATGTATACATGTATAAGGGAAGACAGGATTTGAACTTGTATGCTGACTATTGAATACACAGAAGAGGGAGCATGAACATGATAGCAAGCAAGACTGGGTATGTTGGCAATGAAGTCAACAAAACACACACACACACGCATACAAAAGCACGCGTGCGCGCGCGTACAGACACACACACACACACACATATACACACACACACACACATACTCACACACACACTCACCCGCACACACTCACACAGCGGAGCACTGTATGACATCAACAGTAGCGTCATTGCACTACTGCAATAGACTGCTGCTCAAGTTGAGAGCAGAAGAAAAGTTTGACAGGACGAGCAGCAGTGGCATTGGCGTCCCCTAGCTATGCAGACAGTGCAGTGTGACAGTGCAACAAGTGTCATACAGCATGCACTGCCACATAGCCGAATGGCCCATTACACTGCTAGAGTCTATTTGACAGAAGGCATGGCAGCAGCAGCAGCAGGCATACCTGCAGCAGTAGTAGTAGTAGCAGTAGTAGCAGAATCAGCGGCGGCAGCAGTGCTACCAGCAGCATCTGCACAAGGTTCCAAATCAACACCAAGACCATGCCACTTGTCGGGCACCATGAGAAAGTAACGATCCATAGCTTCACAAAATCTCTTACGATAGAGTTCTGGAGCGACAACAGTGGGCATCTTGCCATGGCCACCCAGCAGACCACTTGCCTTGACCCACATCTCAAGACGCTTGTCCCAAGTGAAAGTGCGGATGAAATCTGCATGCGGATGGGAAAATATATGCTCAGTATATATGCTCAGTATATATGCTCAGTATATATGCTCAGTATATAATAATAATAATAATTCGCGGGATTCGCGTTGGCATCGCTTGAATGTTCAGAAACACACAAACTAGCCTTCGCTTCCGCAGGCCACCACTATGCCTATGCCTTGCACACCTGAGTGGCGAATGCAGACCTCACAAGTGAGTCAGGGGAGAGTAGGTGAGTCTCTCAACCAATAGGGCGTGTAACGGCCCATAACCCTGTAAACTGCATCCTTGTTACCCTCACTCCGAGCTGTGAGTACCCAGTTGACCGTGGGCAGTATATATGCTCAGTATATATGCTCAGTATATATGCTCAGTATATATGCTCAGTATATATGCTCAGTATCTACACAAACATAACATGTAAACACATGATACACTGTAGAACTGTAGAACTGTATAACTGTAGAACTGTAGAACTGTAGAACACACAAAAGGCACAACGGAGGTTTACAGAATTGCCGCAACTCAGAGTTTCTTGCTCAATGCAATCATCAGGTGACTATGACATGTTCAGTGGGACTTGGCCAATATAAAGCATAGTCTAGCGATAGCTGGTTGGTGTCTGATTCAGCACAGAAAATATTGCCATGATGGCTGTGTCGATGGTCGCTTAGGTGAGGGAGCTATTACAGTATTAGCGCAGAAAGTATAGATTGCTAGTGAATATAGAAATGGAAGGTGTGAGTCTGTAAACAGCAGCCAGGGTGTGACTGTAATCCTTCAGAACTGTTAAAGTGTTATTAGTGATGCGGAGGGCTCTAGACTCACGCGGGTGTGCTCGCTTCAGATCATGTCACAGTACACTGTATGTTTGTTTTGCAAGTGCACGCAGATGTGTATAACACAGAACAGGTGGTCACAGCCAATTTTTTCCTCCAGACTTTCCTTTCAGCCAATAAATATTGGAGGAATATTGGAGGGATTGGGATTTCCACGAACCAGTTTGTGTCACAACAACGAAGACGACAACGACGACGACAACAACAGCAACAATAAAGGTCTCTTCTTGGCTACAGGCCATCGTGAAAATAAACTTTTGAAAGAGCAGCAGAAATAGTATGGGCATCACCAGTAAGGGCGCATTCACACGCAAGGATAAAACACGGCAGTTGGGAAAGTTGTCATGACAAAGTGCTCACGTGACGTTCCTGGCGCGTTTCCGCCAGGAAAAGTTGCCCAGCTCGCGGAGGAGCACTGGGAAAGGTTTACTGCCTGTAAAGTTGGTCTGGCGCGGTGATTTGAAAGCTGTTTGTTGGCGTGTAGTGCGTCTGGTGAGGTTGAAAGTGTTTGTGTCGAAGAACCATCATGCCAAAAACCGTGTTCAACAGCGAGATGGAGCGAGCCGTGATGAAGAGCTATGTGGGGTACGTACGTCGTTTGCATGCAGCACAAATCGAGATGGATGACGAAATACTAAATTGAATTCCGGTATTCCCTCTTGTGTGCCAGATATTTGTAGGCGCTTCAGATCAAGAGAAGTATGCAGCGATAGCGAAGCGGGTCAACGAGACTGGAGTAGCTGAAGGCTGGATTGAGGTCACCGGTGCAAAAATCGAGACGAAGATTGACAGCTTGAAGCGCACAGGAAAGAAAATCTATAAGACCTTCAGGACGAAGACGAAGACTGGAGCTCCAATTGATGAGGACTTTGATTTGAAAATTTTGATTTTTGTTTTTCGCCGCGCCGGCGCCTGGCTGCCTTGGTTGGCATGGCGAAAAGAGCGCCTTCGGGGATTTGCACGCTTTTTACGAAGTACGTCTGAACGCACCAAAACACTTTTCACGCCAGGCAAGCTGTACCCGTATCTGGTTTTTTCGTGCGTGTGAATGCGCCCTAACAGCAGTAACAGCAGTAACAGCAGTAACAGCAGTAACAGCAGTAACAGCAGTAACAGCAGTAACAGCTGCACTAGCAATACGCACAACAGACAACTGGTTAGAGTCAGGAAGGAAAGCAGCAGCTTTTCACCGTTCATCATTAGCTTAGTTAAACTCGCCAGCACATGTGCTCTACGGTGCTCTACGGTGGACCTCGTTCAACACACCAGTAACACTATCTACAACAATCAAGGTACCGTCACCGCAGGCGACTTTATGCCACTATCTACAACAATCAGGCGCGTGCGCAGGGTCACCTCTAGGGGGGGGGGGGGTTTCCAACTGAATCACAACCAAAGAGTTTTCGAACCCTTTAAGGGGCCGTCCGTATCGATCTTTTACACGAAGAGAAAAAACATTTCGTTTATGGGTGGGTGGGTCAATTAGAGTTTCGTTTTCAAAAATATTGATAGGAAAGGCATCAAAGCTGTCAAGTCAATCTATTTTTCGTTCAGGGGAGGGGGGGGGGGGGGAAGGGTCCTAAATAAACTTTTTCGTTTCGTGAAAATTATCGATAATGCCGGATGGCCCCTAAAAGAGCCACAGGGATTTTCAAAATTCCACATTTTTTCGTGTTCCTTGGATCATAACTTCAGTTTCACTCACTCAACCTTCTTAGTCTTGGGCTACCTGGAAAGGTACATATTCGGGAGAGGAAGAGAATGAGGTCAACCATGACAGCCAGGACACTGTATATCCAGCGCTAGAGTGCAGCGATGGTGTGAAAAATGCCCCAAACGCGCCCTGCTCCAGCTATTCCGGTTTTCTCGATCGCAGAGTTTCGTTTTTTCCGCTGTGTACTATTGAGATTAGGGAGGTTTAGTCCCACGTAATCCGTGTGTACTTTACGTGTGTGTACCACGTGATACTCAGTGACCCACGTACAGCCGTTTTCTGATTCACGACATACCGTGTATGGAGGCTCACCCACGTTCCGCCAGAACGTGGGTGAAAATCAGAATGGAGCACATTGTGCAAGCTGTGAGGGTGCTCAGCTGAAGAAGTTTCTGAAGCACGAAATCAACATATTCGATGAGCCTCGAAGCTTCGTCTTTGACCAAGTTTGGGCCTTTCGCTTCATGCTTTTGTTTGTTCCGTGTGACTAAAAACAACATTGCGAACATGGGTCCATTGCATGAACTTTACGTGTACAGCCGTCCCTCTCTAATCCAGCACTTTATAATCCAGCATCCTCGATAAACCAGCACAATTTTCATTAGCCAAAATGTCCTCTTCATGCACATTGCAGCAGTAAATCAGATTTGTTAATCCAGCGCCCTCCCTAATCCAGCAGAATTTCCGTGGCACAAATGGTGCCGGATTATAGAGGGACCACTGTATCACCCACGTTCCCGTATCCGTTACGTGGGACTAAACCTCAATAATATCACAAGTGAAACCCGTACAAATTTGAGCAAGTCAGCGTGACGAAAAGTCTCAAATTCTCAATACTCAAGTCGCACTGCGCGCTTTTGAAATTGCCGAGATCGCGGCTCAACTTTCTAATGATGTATCTCAAGAACCATTGCTCGTAGCGCTTCGCAAATAGTTTCTACCGACAGCTGAACGTTTTCTCTTCGACTTGGATATTTGGATCTTTGGACTTGATCAAGATTTGACTGAGTTACGATCTGTTGAAGTTTTGCATTCTTGTCAGATCGATCGCGCGCCTACCAAAAAATGCTCAAAAACGTTGCACGTTTGGAACCTTCGGGGGGGGGGGGGGGGGGGGGGTTCCGGGCAACCGAACTCCCCCCCCCCCCCCCCCCTGCGTATGTGCCTGACAACTTGGATCGTGTTGCATGTGGTGGTGAACGAGGTCGGTCCCTGGAGAATGCATGTGATGGGAATTTTGGACTCAATTACTGAACTAACTGGAAAGAGGGTAGGGAAAATGCCAACAAGAGGAGCATCATGTGCCCACAGCAGCAGCTTACCAATGATGCCGACCACCAGTTCAGAGTTTGTCTCATCAATTCCCACCAAAAGCGAATAATCCATGATGTGGTGTTGAGAAAGGAACAACGTATCACTTGTGATAGATTGCGACAACAGTAACTTGCTATGAGGCCGCAGGAATAGTGGAGAGTCGCAGATAACTGAAGATCGTAATAACACGCACAAACACGCACAAACACAGGTACACGTGCACACACGCACATGATGTTATTTTCTGCCTGTCGCATCAAATAATCGTTTTCTTTGTGTTTTGATGTCACATCGAATTACAGCGCACAATGTACATGTACAGTGAACTGTGAACAACGTAGAATGTGACCTGTACACACTATACACTATACACTATACAGTATACTGTATAGTGTATAGTGTATAGTGTACACCATACACTATACACTACACTGTACACTATACACTATACACTGTACAGTATACACTGTACGTACTGTACAAGTTACATACTAGAAGCGTCTTGCCGTGATGTTGTCTGCTAAGTGGGATAAGCCGTTTAGTTGTGTCATGGCCTGGGTTTGTGTCCGAACCCAATTCACCGTCGTCAGGGGCGCACGTCGTTGTCTTATATAAAGGGATTATCTGTTCAGGATGGTTCTGGAATGGGCTTTGGTTTGTACTCAAGACATGTGTATGGCTGGTTTTGTTATTTCCTGGAGACACGGTGGATTCTGCTTATTCTTATAGTACATGTACTCAGTATAATACCCCGGTACTCACTTATCTGCAACGATGCTTCTTAGTCGTTTAAATTCCGTATGTGTACTTCAAGTATGACAATGTCATTACTGTATTCAATCATGATTTCGGCTAGGGCTGAAAGTTGGCACTGAGATCCCGAGTTCGAGTACTCTGATTTTCTCCGATCGAATATTCGAGTATTCGAGTATTCTTCATCTCCTAAAAATTGCACACCAAGGGGCTTAAAATCACATGATACAACCCTGATCGAATCGAGTAGCAGTCATTTTTCTCGGGTATATTGGTTGGTGGGTCATTTGGGCTCTCTCTACTCGTGAACAAATGTTCACCACACAGTCTGCACATCAATATCTGCTGACTGCTGCTCTGAAACTGCAGATTTCTGTGGTGAATGCATATACCATGTATGAACGAGTACTCTGATTTATTCCGAGTACGATTATTTTTGAAAAAACCGAGCGAGTACTCGAGTATTCGGTATAATTGTTTCAGCCCTAATTTCGGCACTCCGTACTACATGTATAGCATAGTGCACAGTGCAGAGAGCACAGTGCAGAGAGCACAGTGCAGAGAGCACAGTGCAGAGAGCACAGTGCAGAAAGCGGAGTAAATGAAAATCACTCTAAATCAGTGTCTTACATTCCAGCAAGTTCTCGTCAAGTAGAACATCACTCTGGCTGGAAGATGGTACATAACGACTGCGTACCGATCCTTTCAGATCAAAGATCTACAGAGAGCCGTCAGGTATATACAGACACACAAGCACGCGCACACACATGCACACATTCATACACAGGCACACACATGCACATGCGTGCAGACACGCAAGCATGCGCAACACGTACACACACACACACACACACACACACACACACACACACAGACTAGTATTGCGAATTCAAACAAAAACAACAACAACAACAACAACAACAACAACACACACACATGCATACACGTACATGTACAGACAAACACACACACACACACACACACGCAATGGGTGAAGTAAAATAAAAGTCAACAACACACACACACACACACACACATCATCATCATCGGAATGCTAACACCCCTGAAATCCCCAGACGCCGGCGGGTTGGAGCCAGCCTGGATTGCAGAGGCGTGTCAGGGAAAGTCTGTGCATAGCTGTACAATTGCTCCGCGCAAGGGGTACATATAGAATCACATACGGAGTACATATATAACCACACGTGAAGTATTAATCACACACAGAGTATGTATATAATCTAGGGGTAAAAGTTGGCACTGAGATCCCGAGTTCGAGTACTCTGATTTTCTCCGATCGAATATTCGAGTATTCGAGTATTTTTCATCTCCTAAAAATTGCACACCAAGGGCTTTAAAATAACATGATACGACCCTGATTGAACCGAGTAGCAGTCATTTTTCTCGGGTATATTGATTGGTGGGTCATTTGGGCTCTCTCTACTCGTGAACAAATGTTCACCACACAGCCTGCACATCACCATCTGCCGACTGCTGCCCTGAAACTGCAGATTTCTGTAGTAAATGCATGTACCATGTATGAACGAGTACTCTGATTTATTCCGAGTACGATTATTTTTGAAAAAACCGAGCGAGTACTCGAGTACTCGGTATAATTGTTTCACCCCTAATATAATCACACGTGAAGTATGTATATATATTATAAACGATTGTAATCACACATGGCACGGAGGGCATGACGGCTGATTTATACCCTAGTACGTAGCCCGAGGTTGTGCACGAGGAGCATACTTCCATCATACGCCATGCGCAAATTATAGTTCATACATGCCATGTGCCTACATACATGCCATGTGCCTGGTTGTAGACAAGTAGGGTAATCATGGCCAAAGGAGGAGGAAGGAACCAATCAGCTGCCATAGCAATGAAGGGTCGAGCAAGCTCAGAACGCATATACATGTCCAGTCTGTATCGGCTATAGAGTGACTGGATATAAGAATATATCGGCTACAGTGATATTGGTACGAAATATCAAAAGCAAAACGTATTTTATCCAGTAAAAATATCACTATAACCAATATTATCGGATGTAATGATATATCGGATATTATGATGGCAACAAAGAATCAAAACATGCATAACACACTATATTATTATCGGCTATAGTGATAACTTTAAAATACATGTAGCAATAATATCAAAGGCCCTGTTTAAAAAAAAAAACTTTCTTCACGTTGCTTATTTTTATAGTCATACATGTACTTGTACCTCTTTGTGTCTTAGCCTCTAGAACCGCTAGTTCTTCAGTTCCCTCTTTTTCTGCACCATTGCCTTGTTTGTAAGTTCTCACCTCTTTTCTGCACCATTGCCTTATGCTCTATGTATGTGCACCATTGCCTTCAGGAACGCTGTATCTTTGTTGTCGCATCCTTTCTGGACATTTGCCTCCAGAAACGCTTTATCTGTAATCGTCAGGGAAATCTCGCATAACAACTAAACTATCGTAATCCGATATCATCATTATTCATTTTTCTCATATCTTTCTCATACATATTCATATCGCAGATTTCTCGTTTTTGGTAGGAATCGGAGAATCCTCTCTCCGGTGAGAAGGCAGTATTGCCTGTGCCCTGAGCGAATTGAAATAAAAGAATACAACAACAACAACATGTACATGTACATAACAGAATTTCTTTCATGGAAATGCGGGTACTGTCAACTATGCAGCATGCTCATGAGCTCATTTGTCAAAACGTCATGCTGGAAGTATTTCCTTGCCTTTCATGTGTCGATCGGAAAAAAGAAAAAGAAAAAATCGATCGTATCGCATATAGTGATGCATCATCGGTTATAGTGATAAAATCACGGAAATCAAAAGGGTACGCTATAGCCCATACAGACTGCACTAAACATATATTAGTAGCGTAAAGTACCGCCAGAGCGCCCCACCATCTCGTCCTTTCGTGGCCGCCTTGTGGAGGTGGATTTCTGTCTGTAGGTCATACGACACGGACCTTA